AGCCCCTAGGAACGCATTAATCGGGTTTTAATGCGTTTCTATGTGCTTTTAAAAATCACATTACGACGTTTTCGTTTTACAGAGATTTCGCTGGAACGAATTAATGTCGTAATGCGAGGCACCACTGTACATTTCTAAGATGATTATGATGACCACGCCTAGAGTGGTTGTTCAACTAGATAGGCGGGGTATAAATGGAATAAATAAACAAACAAATAAAATAAATAAATAAATGATATGCAATTATTAAAATGAACTAGAATTACTTTCTGCTCTATTGGGTTTGCTAAAACTAGATCAGATCTTCAGAATGGCAGTTCGTAGTGGGATATTCATGGCTACCCAGTTAATGACCAAGCTACAGGCTATATTAATAATGCTATTTAAAGACACAATTAAGACATGCCTCTTTTTAAAAACACACAAAAGCCTGAGCAGCACATACACCCGATCTGAACTGAAATTCGCGTGGGGGAGAAGTGTTTGTACCTTCCCTCTGTGCCATTTCCTCAATAAAAACTATCTCCCCAAACAGGCAAATTGCAGAACCTGGCATTTCTGAAAACAAATAGTTCGGTTTCTGGGTGTGGTTTTTTCAGTGGAAAAATATCAGAAAGTTAAACCCTTATGTGCCACTGATTAAACCAAATCAGTCCGTCCCCATGGCTGCTTTTTTTTTTTTACATTCAGAAAAGTGGCAGGCTCTACCTACAGACTTAACATATCACATTGTATAGTTCTGATCATAAAGCAAGTCTCCTTAAAGACATACTCAGCCTACTAGAGCAAAGATGCCTAATTTATAAGCAGGCATATTATTTACCTGTACTCTAATGACATTTTTATAATGTGTCACTATGTTGTCATGCTGTTCCAATGTTTTCTTCACTTCCTCTTCCTTTTTATCTTCTTCACTGGATTTATACACTGCTTTTGTTATAACACCTGTGAAATAATTAGTCATTTTTGTTCAGGTACACATAGGTCACATTTTCTACCTTTTAAACCCTTGTAGATATGAAGAGGAAATGTCCTTCTTTAGGCTTCAACTTTGAAAATCACCCGTGAACAAAGAAAGAATTATGTTTTTTACTATGAAAAATGGTGGTTTCCTCTCTGCATGTCTAAGTACTTCAGCAAAATTAAATAAGCAAACCAGACATTCTGCTACTGTTTTTATTTGTTCTTCACTGTGTGCCTAACTTGTTATCAATCCAATGCCTTTCCATGCGGCATCAAAAATGTTTCTTTTAGGGTTGTAAACCTGCACACAGGGCCTCTATTATTTAACTTCAGTACAGAGCCTACTACTTTTATGTGCTTTACAAAGCAGCCTTTTTTACTATGTGTACTGACTAATTAACAGGAGAAAATAAAAATATGCCCTGGCAGGCTACATTCTGGAATGAAGAAGGGATTCGCATACCTTCCCAGTCAACAAGCAACTGGATCAGCAAAACTTGTTATAAATGTTAACCCTTCTGGGCCCTCAATGTCTACTGAGATTAACTGCACAGAATGAAATGGATACTCACATTTTAAGCAGCCCTATGAATTGGTCTTAATGCAGACCACTAGCATAATAAGCCCACAACAGTTGTGCCTGGACCCCTCCTTGCACTCATTTAGGAGGCAGCTCAAAACACTACTTTTCAGGGAGGCCTTTCATATCAATCCCAGCTGAATACCTTGTCTCCTGCTCTGCTTCAGTTTGAAAACTGGTTCAGCACCATGGGTTATTTACGTTTATAGGCTATGTTTTGTTATTGTTTGCAATTTAGTGTTTTGTTTTGTGGATTTGGTTTTAACTGTTCGTAAACTTCCCTGAACAGTGCTTCCGCACTAACGGAGCAGTATATAAATTAAAGTAATAAATGAATAATAAATAGAGAGCTTTTGAAGAAAAATGACCTGACTCCATTAAAGTAGCATGCACAGCAGTGATGAGTATAACTTTTTTATACGTTGAGGCTGATATTACAAGTCAGTTAACTTCAATTTCAATTCAGGATAGAACTTCTTGAGGTTTGAAAAGAGAAAATACAAAACAGAGAATTTAAGAGAAACATGATAACATGTCTTACCTTCCAGCTCCTTTACCAGTTTAGTAAATTCATGATCAAACATCATATGATCTGGGCTAGAGAAGCTTGGCTGAGGTTTCTGTGCTGCTCGGGAATAGAATTCATGCTTGCTAATGAACCCCAATTTCTCTACAAAGTTTTCCTTGCCAATCCTCTTTTCTATCAGTTGCTTTAATTTCTCCCTGTGAGGAGAGGAGAAGATAATTACTGAAAACCACAAAAAATTGTGAAGACTGTCAGTTATATCAAAGACAACAGAGAAGGTAAAGCAGTAAATCATAGAGAAGAAGCCTTCAGATTTGGCACTCAGGACAATTTTAGTGGCCTGCAGAGGATGAAATAATCAAGAAAAGTTAAATAATAAAGCAAAAGCATGTTTCAGGAGTTCAAAATAATGAGCAGAAGACTGAATGGCAGTTTCAAAAACCAAGCTGTCTGAAGACTTTCATTAGTCTCAATAGGAGCCATTCAGCTGGCTGGATAACTCAGGCATCTGGCTGCAGAGTCAGAGGTTGGGAGTTTGATACCCCTCTGTGCCTCCTGCAAGTAAAGCCAGCCTGTGTGATTTTGGGCAAGCAACACAGTCCCAGGACTCCCCCAGAAGGGAATGGTAAACCACTTCTGAGCATTCTCTACTTGAAAAACCCTGAAACAAGTTGCCATAAGTCAGAATGGTCTTAACAGCACATGATGATGATTATTATTATGAGCTGTATGAGAGAAACAAGGACCCATCAATTCAAAGGATAATATACCAGTTGTTAATTATTGTTTTGAACACTTAATCTTCCAGAATCTGTTATCTGTAAAAGGTATCTGAGTCTATACCAGCTGTTTTTTCTGGCTTGCTCATAATGGAAAGTCGATCTACTTTCTAGTCTAGCGCAGGGGTGGGCAAAAATGTGGCCCTCCAGATGTTGCTGAACTGCAACTCCCATAATTCCTAGCCCACACAGCTAATAGTGAGGAGATTTGGGCCTAGCCCACACAGCCAATAGTGTGAGGAGAGTTGGACCTAGCCCACACAGTGAAGAATGTTGGGATTTGCAGTTCAGGAACATCCGGAGGGCCGCACTTTACCCAGGTCTGCAGAATGGAAATGGTGTAACTTGCAGTTTTTAAATTGCTACTAGAACTCACTGATTCCTTGGTCATGCACCAAGTCACCTAAAATGAGAATGAAGAAGCTAAGTGGGGGCACTCATTAGTGGCAATTACCTCCTGCAAGTTATGCCACTTCCTTCCCACTGGCATAACTATGGGACAGGATTTTGACCTTTACCTTGCATATTAGATAAGATGAAATACAATCAGTTTGAATACCAGTGAACACAGCTGCACATCTTTTAGGCAAGAATGGTTCATACATTAAGAAACTGTGACCTTAAAACAGCAGATCATGTGCCTTCAGTAAATATACTCACTTTTTACAATTCTCAAGTGAGTTGTCATTGTAATAAATGGAGATTCCTAGTAAAAGAGCACACAAGCCTTGAACTAACTGCTCCTCTTCTCCAAGGTTTTCTGCTATCTGTCCTGTTAGCTAAAACCTTTGATAAGGATGTCAGACTTCACAAATAGAATAATCCTCATTCCTGCACAACCATATATTCTGGTGTTTATTAGAAGCTTAAATAAATACAAACAAATATAAAATTTACATATCAGTTGGAAGGTTAGCTAGCTCCACTATGTGTGGTAAAAATCTAAGTACACAAAAGTTGTTTTTCTTTAAAAAAAAAAGAAAGCTTGAAAACATATTTAAGGCTTGGAGAAACTACATTTATTCAACAGCTCAGTAATTTAGGAAGCTGTCTTATAACGAAAGTTATAGTCTGAAAAATGTCATAAACTAAAACATAAGTTAAGCAGGTACATAAAATACACTTATGAAAATTTACAATATCTGTCTTTCCAACAACATTCAGAGTACATAAGTAGATCCTAGCCTAGTGTGTTTATCAACCCCTACTTCCACCAAGCCTTCCAGAAGTAAGGTTATATACATCTATTAAGGATATATTAGACATCTGTGTACACTTTGAACTGTTACATGAAATTCTAATATAAAGATAGTATACTATGATACTATTTTTTCTTATGTAAATAATACAAAAACAAACAAAAATTTAATACCATCTTTAGCAAAGGTATTTCAACATGAGCTTTTACAGACACAATCTAATCTGCCACCTCAAAGACAGGTAGACTCTATTCATGAAGCTCCATGAGAAAACATGTGTTAGTCTCAGATGCTGCTACATTTTTGTTTTTGTATTCTTTTGTTTCTGCTGTAGCTGAAACAGACTAACCCAGTTACCTCTCTAAAACTCACTTATGTAAAATGTGGGGCTTAGGCTTACATGCATGCATTTCATTCCTGAAGAACATTTCTTATCATCCTGAAGTATTACTTTCTAACTTTCAAAAGGATACGAATGGAATATTGGCGGAATTGTGAAGAAAGTGTGTGACAGCAATGGGGCAGTTGCTGAGCCAGGTACAAAGCAGCATTAACAGTCCAACTCTTGTCTGCACTTTGCTTCCCTGAAAGAAAGCAAATAAAAACTATTATTCATACGGATAAGTCTTCTGTTTCCTTCACAAACAAGTCTGCTTTAAAGTATCTCCAAAACTGCAATAAATAAATAGATAAATAGATAAATAAACAAACAAACAAACAAACAAACAAACAAACAAACCACACAAACCACCAACTTTAATATTGGCCAAGAAGAAGACAACCAATGATTGCACACTTCTTTAGTGAACAGAAAAATTATTGGTAAGTATTCTGTTTAGAAAGCTCAGCGGTTAGTGGCACATCTTAGGTTTCAAAAACAGCCTCAACCATGTACCAGAGCAAAGCTATCAACAGTCCTGACAAAACGTAAAGGTTTGCAGACAAACACCCCCACAAACAGGAACAATATTAAGGGCGAAAGAAATGCTCCAAACAGCCCAATAAAGACTCATCGTGCTCAGAAGGCACAGAACAAGGCGTCTCTCGGTAACGAAAATGATGGGGAGAAGGAACTGGCCAGCGAAGAGGAGGGAGAGACTTAAAAATACTACAGGGCAATGGGCAGTAAAAGCTAGCTGAGGGCCAAACTAGACCCTATCTACATGCTCAGGCATTTAAAAAAAAATACGAAGGGTGGAGGCCCAGAGAACATGAAACCTTTTCCTTGCCAACCACAACCACAATAAAAAGTGCCCTCATTCCCAGGACAGTGGATAGTTAAAAAAAAGAGTTTTACTGCTGGCAATGGGTGCTTTTATTCTAATGTGAATTGCTGCAATGGAGAGGGACAATCTTTGTCAGGATAACTTCTAGGGAAAGAACAATATTAAACCTTTCCTCTTTCTGTGTTTTGGTTTTCTGCTTCTAGTAGTCTTTCAAAAACAAAACACCCCAAACAAAACAAATGAGGCCACAAATCATGCACCTGAAGAAACAACTAGGTTGGCCTTGAAGGCAATAGAAGAAAGGAGGAAAGTGCAAAATGAGCAATTATCTCTGTGTCTGTAAGTTGTCCTTTGTTCTGTTTTTTTCTTTTCCTCCACTAAGATAAATGAATATGAGTTATAGTTTGATTTAAATCTGAGCATGAAACTGGCTTTTTATCATGGTTTCCTATTCAGATTTAAAACCACTTTGACTGTAATTCAACTCAGTGGAGGAAGAATGTGAAATACAGCTAGGAAAAGAGGAATTAATCTGAGTGTAATATTCTGGGGAAGGAAAAAGGAGGAGGCAAGGAAGAAATGCCACATGTAAGTCTGATGCCCACTATTAATATTCTAGCCAAGGTTAAGAAACCTGGAAACATTTTGACTGCAGAGACAAAGAGAAGAAGTACCACACAGACATGACCAAATTGAAAAGCTCCATACAAATAATCGGGCTCTTCTAAAGGGTTTCTCGCCTGCGACCAGTAAAGGGCTGACTTCTGAACAAAAAAAATCTGAGACATTCATTTCATTTTGCAATGTTGTACAACAAAGCCTCAGCTAAAAATTCTGTATGCACACTGAACTTGATTTATCAAAAACAACCTAATTTAGTTTGAAAAACAACCTAATTCAGTTGCATCCTGCAACAAAACATTAGCATCCTGACTCAAAGAAAGGAAAACAGCAAAAATCAGAAATGCGCTAAGTGTGCCCTAGGGGCCACATCAAACCCCCCCCCCAATTTTTGTAGCCTCCATGGAAAAAAAAAGCTTTGTAAACTGTCTTTTTTTAAAACTAAAACTAGGCAATTTCTGCTCCTTAAAGCCTACAAGAGCAAGCTTTTAACATCAGGGGTGGGTGGACAGGCCTAAGGATCCCCAACCCCCTGCATGAAAATTAAAATATCCATCTGTGCATTTTTCTTTGGGTAAATGGTCCAAAAGGAGCAGGCTGGTAGCACAAATTCAGTCCCCAAGCCCTGTGAGCAAATTTATCCCTGCTGTGAATTTCTACATTCTTGGGTACTGTACTCCACTGACATAATGGGGCTTACTTCAGAGAAAATTTGTATAGGGCTGCATTGCTAGTTGCTTTTGAATCTGGATCAGGGAAAGTAAGAAGAAAGCTGGCTGTCATGAAATGTTTTGGTGAATTTTTCTGTATACTACTAGTTTAGATAAGCTCTTCATCCCTCACTGCCCCATGTGCATCCCTCCCAAAACTGTGTGCTTGGTGGAAGAGAACAACCACCCCAGATAAAAGGAGTGGTTGAGGGTATTTTTATTTGCCTGCCCATTGTACTGAGAAAAATGCATGCATTGCAGCTTTACATCTATCACTACCTATCTGCAAGAAAATTGTGCTTTGTTCACAATTCTCTTGGCACTTATGATAAAGGAACTGTTTCTGAACTGAGCAAGTGAAACTAATCTCTGGGTCTACAAATAATTTCTGGTCAGCCTCTCTAGAAATCCCCATGAACACAACTGCCAAAGGTGACAAAGGTGTTGAAGTTTCGCATTTAACTAACTACCATCTACGACAAAAACATTCAAAATATGAAGCTACACCAGCTTGAGGCATTCAAGCAAAGAACATTTTGGTCAACACTGTGGGAACCAGTGCTCTCTTCCCTACATACTAAAACCAAACACAAAAATGGGGAAGTCCTTTGGACAGACTGATTAACATCTAATGATCATCCACAGCACTTCCAGCAAGAGGCAGGAGATCTGCATACAAACAATCAGTGCTTTTAGTCTAACTGAAATATTTTCTATACACCAGATTCTTCCTGCCCTTCACAAAGGTGGTGGCATCCTTGAAGAGCTGAAGGTCCGGACGCTCTCCAAGATGCTGGTTTTTGGTTGTTCTGGTTAACAGCCTTTCTTACTGTCTAACATTACCAAATATTTTACCACTGTACTTTCAGAAGATTGAATGTTCTTATTACTTTGAAACAGTATTTATAAATCATTTTTCTGGACCTCAGTACCCTCATGGTCAACCACAGTCAATTAAAAGAATACAGTAAATATAATTAAGAATGCCATAAAATATTTTAAAAATAAAACAATTACAATACAAAAACAAAACATTATTAAAACACATTTTAAAACTTATTTTAAAAATAAGTTTAAATGCCATTAAAAGGTTTTTAATTTCCATTTCACTTAGAATCTGATTCTCCCTGAATGTATATGCAGTCTGAATCCAGTTCTAACAAGAAGGGCTCAGAATATTCAGCCAAGATAACAGCTACTGATTACCCATTCGGGAGGGTGTGTGTGTGTCTGATGGAATCAAACAAGCAGATGCACAGTCTTCTTTGAACATAAATTTACAAATAACAATTTAAAACTTATTTTAAAAATAAGTTTAAATGCCCTTAAAAGGTATTTAATTTCCATTTCACTTAGAATCCGATTCTCCCTGAATGTATATGCAGTTTGAATCCACACAAGAAGAGCTCAGAATATTCAGCCAAGATAATAGCTACTGATTACACATTTGGGAGTGTGTGTGTGTGTGTGTGTGTGTGTGATGGAATCAAACAAGCAGATGCACACTCTTCTTTGAACATAAATTTCCAATTAACAATTTGTACTTAAAAATATACACTCCATGCAGAAAGTCTTTGTTTTATAAAGGGATGGATACGGGTGGTAAAAATTGTGTTACTGCTCCTTATGGCCTTTGCTTAAAAGTTCCTGACTAACAGAATGAGTAGCTCTCCAGAAGGATAATATTATTTTCTGAATATTAGACTGAAGAATCTGCTCATTCACTTACACCTCTGCCTGCCGTTCTGTGCCCTACCACTGGCGCCTTGCTGTTACTATCACCAAAATTTGACAGCACTACAGCAAAATAAAAGTTTGCTACTTTTCTTCTTATTTTCTGGCTGTGCTGCCAAAATTTTGAGATATAGCATTAAAAACACTATGAAAAACTCACTGCTTTAAAAACAAGGAGCAAAAGGGGGTTCAGTTTTTTTTAAGGGGAGTTTTGAAACCAATAGGCAAAATCCTCTTGCATAAATGTATGCTCATGTCATCATCTGGTACCAGTAATACTCAACTTAAATGAATCAAACGCTTCACATCCCCCTTTCAGGTCCTGAGCTCCCTAAGGTTTCCTTTTGCCTTGGGGAAGCCTCGGGAGCCTCAGGACAGTGTTGCAGAAGCCTTTAACAGCCAAATATCAGTGCTGGATTGCCACTGATTGGATGGGGACCTCCAGCAATTTTTTTTGTTTTTGTTTTTTAAAAAATATTACAGCACCTTTACCATTCTGAGGTTCCTAAAGACTTCTATAGTGCAAAAGCAAATCCTAAGGAGACTCAGAACCTGAAATGTGAAATTAAATATTCTTTTTGGTGGATGATAACATCATCTGCCTTCTGTGGTATAACATTATTATTATTATTTTTTAAAAAAACAAGATTTGGGCCAGTGATTCTTCCCGTAAGGGCTACTTGCTTTCAAAACAAGGAATGCTCAAGAACACACTTTGTTTGAACTGCTGCAATTAATAGTGTGTTTTTTTTCAATCCCCATCACCAAACTGTCAAATTTTGACAGTACAAGGATGCATGAAGCTTGGAAGTTTACCACCCCAACGTACGCAAACCAAATGTTTTCTCTAGTCGTATCTTATAGCTTTCATCTTTTATTCATAGTAAACAATCTTTGCAAAGATGTTCTGTAGTGTCCACTTCAAAGTTCCAATCCATTCTTCCAAAGACTGGAAGAACAAAATATAATTGGAACAACAGTATTCAAAGACAGTATTCTGCCTTTAAAGCAATTTGGTTCATAATAGAATAGCAAAGGTAGGATCCAAATTACTGTTGTTCTGTTAGTCACAAGCAACTACACGTCCTGTAACCGTGATCTGAATTCAAATGAGAAAAGAAAAACATCTACAACACCCAGTACCCTGTGGCTGTGCAAGTCACCCGTAACAACCAAGTTTCCCATGCCACCATGCCCAAGAACACCAGAAGAAACAGGACAGCTGGTTATTAGCAATAAAACCAAACAGCAGGCAAGGAACCATAAGCAGGAAAAAAAAAACCTTCAAAGCAGTTATTTCATAAAACACACACCAAAGTTAAGACAGTAGAAACACCCTATTGTGATGAGGAATATTTCAGGTGCACCAATACATACCCGTCTGTCGATCTTATCACCCTGTGAATCATATATTAAAAATGATAAGGGGATGTTGTAGGTTCATTATAGATTTACAAAATAAAGATGTCAGCTGCCCTCAGAATATTTACAATCAGTAATGACATACAGATCTATAATTAAAAACTCCATCTCTTCTGATGGAGGATGATCATCATTCAGGATACATGCATTTGTATTATATGGGAAAGGATATAGGGAACCTGTAGTTCAGGCTACATCCCAATTTAATACAGAGGAATTCTACTGTTTGATTCCTGGGGCTGCACTGCCTTTGTATCTGGCCATATACGACTGTAAACTATTTCCCAAACAAAAAACTGCTAAGCAATCATGCAGAACAAAAAACTGCTGAAAAAGAACAGCATGGAATGTGGACCAAAGGCTGCTAACAGCCTCTGTATAATCCTACAGAATGCAGGATGAAAATTTGATTATTATACACTTCTCCCTCTCTCTCATTATAAACATCTACACCCATATTATCATGATATCAGCTGAAATCTTGTTGGTGAAACTTACGATGGATAAGGCTGATGATGTCATCCCCAGCAGTGTTTTTTTTTCTTCAGAAATTAAACATCTCTAACTGAAGCTCCTGAGACGCCTATGCAATCTCTTTCCTTGTTGGGAAACCATGGAAGCTGCAGGATGACAAGTGATTTTCAGCTCACCTCCCATTCCACAGCCCCCACAGCTTCCCGACAATAAAAGGGATTACACAGGAGCCTCAGAACAAAAGTAACTAAAACAATTTCTGAAAAAATGCCACCACTGCAAAAGTCATTAGCCTTCTGTGGTGTAAGTTATACCAACAGGATTTTAGCTAATACTGTATATGTATAAATTATGAGAAACATATAATACTTGGCAATTTTGATCTCTTTTGCCCATCATACTAGGGAAGAAATGGACATATACAAACATATGCCTTAAGTGTGCTCATTCTGAGAATTATCAAAACCTGGAAGTCAATTTGAACATTCACCTAAGAACACAGCCATCTTTTGCAAAAGGCAGAACGCAGAAGATAGCAGATGGAAGACAAAACTGTTTTTATTCCACTTGCTTAGCAACTGCAGACCAATTAATACATGATTTTTTTAATTATTAAGTTTTTGGCATCTTACATTTGAAGTGCAGATATTTATCCTTGCTTTGCTTGCATGAAAACAAATCAGAAGTTATTCCTGCTCATCTCATGTTTGACGTTATTCATATCCAAAAGCAGAAGAGGTGGTACCTTTATTTAGACCACTAAAAATCAAACATCCAATGCAAGCTTTTGTAAATAAAATTCACTTCCTCAAGCATAGGGTAGAAAAATTATAAATGAAAGTCTCAAAATGGTCTTGGTAGAACTTCACCAAGCCCACTGCTTGTTAATTAAGGTGAGCTGAGAGCTGATTACTTCTGGTTCTGTTGGACTTACATTCATTTTAAATACTCTTGCGAGTATCCTACAGTATCTAACTACGGAAGCCGCCATAATGATCTGACAAAGTCCCAGCCGCATTTCTGACTGTGCACAATGGCACCTTGTTGGAGCACCACAATGAATCCCATAGCTGGATCTCTGCATGCATATAAATAACAAACAGACCTCTGGCCTCTATAATTCAACAATCTTCATGTATCTCAGTCGCAAATGTTACTTGTTCTGCCAATGAGCAGCACCATTCTGACTTTAATCAGACATGAATTACACCACACATACTAATTGGAATTCCACAGAAACAGATGAAAAAAACCAATAATGTATACTAAGAGCAACACTGTGTCTCTAAGCTAATTTACTACTGACATTCTGCTACCTGTTCTGCTAAAATCAATTCCCATGCAATCTTACAAGACTAGAAGCAGCCTTTTTGTGCCAAAGAAGAACCTGTATCTTAACAGAAAGGTGTTACTGTTTCATAAGCTTAAAAATAGATCTATTGATCTGAGAAAGGAGAAATACTGATGCTGTACCTGAGATAAAATGTTGGTGCATTGCTGAAGTAAGGACACGGGAGGGTTCCCAATACTGGTTGCAAGCTGTACTCTGAGCAGCTGTTCCTTCAAAGTGGCATTTTCTTGCAGTGCATGAGCCAGTGCCACAGCTGCACACCAGTTGGAAAGAGAGTCTGTAGAAAAAAGGCCTCCACAGAGCAACTGGCCAGCTGAGACCGAATTTCCAGTAGCTGTAATGACAGGCACACATTTTAATGACTTCAAAATACCGCCAGAATTACTATTTATGCAAATCTATACCAGGCTTTCAAAAATGTCTGAGGGTTCTTTTATAGCACTTCCAAAACCTGCCACATATGTGTTCAGAAGTCTTAGTATTTCTGTAATTCTCATATGTGGCACTCAAGGACAGAAGGCCAAGTCTGAAAAGGAAGAAGAATATCCTAGTCTCTGGATCACTGAAAGATAACAGGTGGGGGATACAGACTTTTTTGGGGGGACACTGCTTTGGGTCTGGTGTCCCCCTGTCCCATGGTACTGCCCAAACCTTTACTCTAACTCTTTGACTCAAGCTTCTCCCTCCGAACTCCATCTAGTATTCTAGTACCATCATAATCAGCAAAGAAATAAAATGTTTCCAATTCTTCTCTCTATAACTAAGGTCACAGTTAGAAAAAAGGCCTCCACAGAGCAACTGGCCAGCTGAGACCGAATTTCCAGTAGCTGTAATGACAGGCACACATTTTAATGACTTCAAAATACCGCCAGAATTACTATTTATGCAAATCTATACCAGGCTTTCAAAAATGTCTGAGGGTTCTTTTATAGCACTTCCAAAACCTGCCACATATGTGTTCGGAAGTGTTAGTATTTCTGTAATTCTCATATGTGGCACTCAAGGACAGAAGGCCAAGTCTGAAAAGGAAGAAGAATATCCTAGTCTCTGGATCACTGAAAGATAACAGGTGGGGGATACAGACTTTTTTTTTGACACGGCTTTGGGTCTGATGTCCCCCTGCCCCATGGTACTGCCCAAAGCTTTACTCTAACTCTCTGACTCAAGCTTCTCCCTTCGAACTCCATCAAGTATTCTAATGCCATCATAATCGGCAAAGAAATAAAAATTTTCCTATTGTTCTCCTCTATATAACTAAGGTCACAGATAAATGTATATACCCATAGAAAAGCACACCTAATTAAACCTGAATGAATCCTAAGGCGACTAACCAGACTATTTCTCAGACTATCTGAAAGGCATCTGTCACAGACGGACGATTACTGCTGTGTCAAAACTACTCATGTTCCAGTTTCCACATTTTCATTACCTTCCACAAGGATGGCAAGATTAATTAATTTTTAGAAGACTGGGCACTTAAAATTAGGAGATATACCAAGAAAGGATTATCTGATTTCTTGCTTTAAAATTAGGTTTGCCACTACTTCAAGAAGCACCAAAGCTGAAACGAGTAGCATGAGGGTTTTAAGATGTAACAGAGAACAATCTGACAACATTCTCAGTGCAGTATTCTATAAACACAGCAGTGTCAATGATGTGCTTACTGCAGGTCTTTCATGTTAGAAAGAAACTTCAAGTATATGCAAATCCCCTGCCCTACACTCTTACACTTGAGATCTTGTCTTGAACCCTATCTTGCTTCTTCTGGCATCACCACAGGTTTTTGGGTTCCCCCAATCAAATTACAACTATTTCTTTGAAATTCTATACCATCAATGGTGGAAGGTAGAAGTGTCGACACAATTTCTGCTTGTCCCTTCTGGTTCTTGTATAAGAAACACTGGAAGCAGTAAAGGACAGCACAACGCAGCACAAATGGTTGCCTTTCATTTACCATTGACATCAGGAGTACCACAATTGCAGGCCTGCCAAATTGAAAAAAAAAATCTATTAATTTTTGAAAGCTGTATATTTGTATATGTATGCATTATTCGTTGTTACTATGATGAGAATATTAACAGCTATGGGAAAAATACATGAGTTAACCAGAAGACACTCAGTGACCAAAATCCTCTCAGTGTAATTTTATGCCACAAAACAAGGATGATCCATGATGGTATTATTTCATTTAATTGAACACTTCTTATCTCCCCTTTCAGGTTCCAAGGCTCCGTAGGGATCCCACTAGACTCAGGATTGGTGGGGTGAAGAGCTTTTTATTAGTCAAAAATTGCTACCACTGGAATTGGGACACTTGGCAACAATTCAGTGGTTATTTTTCGGCTATTAATTGCTTCCCCCATCCTAGGAGTTCCAAAAAGATTCCTTAAATTAAAAGGGAGCCCTGGGGAGCCTCAGAACCTGCAAAGCAGAATAGAAGGCTTCATTATTATATACTGTCACAAGTTGATATCATTCTAGCTGTATGGCATAAAGTTATAGAAACAGGATTTCAACTACTGTGGTCCTCTATAAGGTGTCATGGGTGAAATACCCAGAATGTTAGTTTCCTCATCCTTCACTGTGCAAAGTAAACGTATGCCTTTATTCCTATCTGATTTGCAATTTCTTCCGTGTAACTACTACAGGAATAAGATCAAATGTTAACATTCAAAACTAGAAGACAACATTAATTACCACCACCCAACAAATCAACTACATTAATGAGATCTTTTCAGTTGCCAATAGAGTGCTAGATGTGGCTCCTTCATCTTGACCTACAAGAATTCTTTTTAATTTTTTGAAGAAGATGCTGTACAATAATTTCATAACATTCCCTGCCAGGAGGCAGGGCTAGGCACTTCCCTGCTGCCTTCTGCCAGAATGCAAAGAATTTTCTATTCAGCTAGATCACTGGCACTTAACCTAGGTAATAATAAAAGGAACATTTCCTCTGGGCGGGTATTGGACACCCCATGCGATTTTAATGGCTGTAAAAGTTGCCATGTGTTCAAGAAAGTTAATTTTAACATTAACATTAGATGTTTTATTTGATTTTATTGTTACCCATTTCAAATCCCATTTGAAGGGACAAAAACAAATTACAAATCTAATAAATAAATGTGAAGTCCTGGAAGACTGTTATGATTCTGTAACCTTTGAAGATTAGGGATCTATCTTTAACCCTACATACTCTTGATTGAAAAAGGAACTGGTATCATGACAGGTGCAATCCACCTGAGGCCAGAGAACAAACAAATTACAGTTCTCAACCAGTTTATAGAAAATTCATGGAGCTACTTACTGCACCAATGGTATGTTTTGGTATGAAGCCAAATAAAACTCAGGCAGATTTTGATAACAATGATTAATTCTTATGGTTATGGCTACATCACATCTTTATGTTTAAAGTAAACGGCATCAAGATTTTTCCTTACCCTACCTTGGTGGATTTGAAGGTGCATTTACTGAAGCAAAGTAGTCTTGGTTCATCTCACACCCACGAATGACCTCAGACACAGTGTTAATGGTCTGAAAAGTAATTACAGATAAAAGTCAGGCATGAAGTATCAGAAGTCCGAGATAGCTAAATTCAATATTAGCCCTACCTTGAGTAGACCCAATAAGATAAACAGGACCCAAGATGATTGAGGCTAACAAGTTCCTTTCAACACATTTAAAATAGGTAGAAGGGACTTAAGATTTAGCCCAGGGATACAATGAGCTGGTATTTGCTTTAGTTCTTTGGACTAATTATGAAAACATGCACATTGCCCATCTCTAGAAATATTCACACAAATGCTTAAGCCTCTTGCCTCAATGAAGAAATCATTTCAATATGAGGTTTCCTTTTTTTAGAAGCCAACTCACATGACAGACAGAAGAAATACATTGCTCCACAGCTAAGCAACCTCTTCAGCGTTTGTCATGTGGCTGTTTATTCAATGACAATAATAGATATGAATGGTGCAGAGGCAACATGTTTGATATGACACCTAGGAATGTCTAAGAGCAGAATGCATCTTCCACAAAATGAAAGAGCTATAATTCTCACTCTTGCATAGCCTGGACATTCTATTTAACAAAACAAGTGAATTACTTGATGACTTCAAGGTGTGAAACCCACACTAGATACAAAAACAGTGCCCTTCCGTAACATCAGCTCATACATTCATCAGCCAAGTCAGACACTTACTGTATTTTTCCATGTATAAAACTCGTTTTCCTAAAATAATTAGAGAGAAAAAAATTGAGGGTCATTTTATACATGGAAGGCAGCTGCTTTTCCCTGCCTTTTGCGAAGCCACAAGGCTTAGCAAAAAGGAAGGGAACACTCCCTTCGGGTAAAGCAGTGATAAAGCAGCCACGAAAGGGCTTCTCGATCAAAGGGCTGTGATCATGCAGCCCTTTCATCGCTGCTTTATTTATTTATTTATTTTATTAGATTTCTACCCTGCCCATCTAGACCAAAGGTCAATTCTGGGCGGCATTACAAATTTAAAAATAATTGAACCAATAAACATGCACTATAAATCCAAGATGGTAAGATGTGAATTTAAGATATAGCAGGAGGGAAAGCTTGCCCAAATAGCCAAGTCTTGAGTTTGGTTCTGAAAACACCCAGAAAGGGAGCCAGGCCGATCTCCACGGGCAAATTGTTCCAGAGATGAGGGGCCACTGCTGAGAAGGCCCTGTTCCTAGTTCTTTCCTTCCGGACCTCCCTCGGTGTTAGGCCCCTCAGCCGCCTGGCATGGCTTGAATGAGTGACTCTGGCAGAACTCGGTGGGAGAAGGTGCTCTGCCAGATATCGAGGTCCTAAACCATTTAGGGCTTTATATGCAATCGTAAGAACTTTTAAATCAATGCGGAAGCGAATGGGCAACCAATGCAAGGCGGCCAGCGTGGGGGGAATGCGTTGGTACCTTTTCACCCCTGTAAGAAGTCTAGCTGCCGCATTTTGTACCATCTGAAGTTTCCGCGTCAATCTCAAAGGCAGCCCCACGTAGAGCGCATTACAGTAGTCTAATCTTGAGACTACGAGCGCATGGACCAATGTAGTGAGCGCCCCCACATCAAGATAAGGACGCAGCTGGGCAATCTGCCAAAGGTGGAAATGTGTGGAACAGACTACTGATGACACCTGGGTCTCCATGATGAGCGCCGGGTCCAGATATACACCCAAACTGCGAACCTCACTCTCGGTGGTAAGAGTCACCCCCCCAAAAAAAAGACAGGGAGTTTCCCAGACCACTGATGTCTGGGACACCCACCCGAAGGACCTCCATCTTGCCCGGATTCAGCCTCAATCTATTCACCTGCATACATTGCTGAACAGCCCCCAGGCAGTGCTCAAGGTACGAAACAGCATCCACTGTTGTTGGCAAAAAGGAGATGTAGAGCTGAGTATCATCAGCGTACTAATGACACGAAGCCCCACATCCCCTGATGAACCCTCCGAGTGACCTCATATAGATGTTAAACAGCATTGGAGAGATAATCGAGCCCTGCAGAAGCCCACAATTGAGGCTCCACAGGGCCAAGAAACTCTCTCCAATCTGCACTCTCTGGGGACAGTCCTCCAAGAAGGATCAGAACCAGGCAAGGGCAACGCCACTGATTCCCAACTTGGAGAGCCTTCCCAGGAGAATACTGTGGTCGACAATATCAGAGGTGGCTGAGATATCAAGAAGGACCAGCAGAAACATTTTGCCCCTCTCTGCCTCCCTCAATAGGTCATCAAACAGGGCGTCCAATGCTGTTTCTGTGCCATGGCGTGGCCTGAAGCCCAACTGGAACGGATCCAGGGCATTGGTTTCATCCAGAAGAGCCTGCAGCTGATCGGCCACCACCCTCTCGACTACCTTGCTGAGGAAAGAAACATTGGTGATGGGCCTATAATTGCCAATATTGTCCACCACCAACCTCGGTTTCTTCCTAATAGGCCTAATGAATGTCTCCTTGAGGGCAAGGGGAACCTTGCCCTTGCCCTCCAGGAGAGACCCATTAATTATTGCCGTAGCCCATTCAGAGGTTATAGGCTTGGCTGCTTTGATTAGCCAGGCGGGGCAAGGGTCAAGGGAGGAGGTAGTGGCACGACAGCAGTCAAGCACTCTGTCCACCATGTTTGACTTCACAGGATGAAAGGAGTTAAGTCTCATCAGGCAAGATGGAGCGATGGACATCTCAGCTCAATCCACTGTGTTCAAATAGGGGTAAGATCCCGGCAGATGGCTTCCACTTTTGATTTTTTAAAGGCTGCAAATTGGTCAGGTTAGATGCTAGTGGGAGGCCAATCACCATGACCAACTCTGGATAGATCGCGAACTATACGGAAAAGTTCCGCCTGCTGGTTGGAGGCTTCGCTTATCCGGACAGCAAAGTAAGAGCGACTAATATCTTCACCTTAGATTGGTAGAGGTTAGTCACGAACCTGACAGCTATTTGATCATTTTCCGTAGGGTTCCACCTTCATATGCACTCTAGCCTTCTCCTATTTTGCTTCATTGATCACAGCTCTGGATTAAACCAGGGCGAAGGGCAATCTCTGCGCCGGACAGGGCGTTTAGGTGCGATCGTGTCAACAGCCCTGGTGGCAGTGGCCAGCCAGCTATCAACCAGAGCCTCAACAGGAGCACCATTCAAATTGGTCAGAATTCCTCTCATGGTGTCCTGGAATCCTATAGGATCCAATAATCTTCAAGGGTGAACCATTAAAACAGGTCCTTGCTCCCCACGGGGAGAGCCACTGCAAGATTAGGCAATGATCCGACCATGACAAGGGGACAGACACTAGGTCAGTCACCATTAGAGCACACTCACTCTGCTCAGTGGAGATCACCAGGTCCAGTGTGCGGCCACCCACAAGGGTGGGGTCATTGACATGTTGGGACATGTCCAAGGAGGCCATGGTCTCCAAGAACTCAAGAGCTGGACCGGAAACCTCTGCCTCCGCATGCACAATGAAGTCACCCAAGACCAAAAGCCTTGGAGACACCAACAATGCCATGGAGATGAAGTCCGCCAGCTCCAGTAAGGAAATGGCTGGGTCGCAGAGAGCAAGGTAACCTAGGAAGATCCCAATACCATCCCTGGCCCAAATCAACACATGGAGGGCACCAGAGCAGAGCGCCTAGCAACCTGAAGGGTGTTTTTGTAAACAATGGCTAGTCCC